TGGACACATTCTGAGAAAACCATTAAGTGGCATCGCACACCAAGCTGTAGTTCGAATAGAAGGTGAGTGGGAAACGACGAGTTTAGCATAGGTCCGAGGTTGATATGGAGGAGATGGTGTGAGGATCAGATGAAATCTTATGGGTAATCGTCGAGTCAGCTATAGAGAACTACAGAGGACAGACTGAAATGAAGATGTGCCACTGAATTGCTGTGTTCCACTCAGAACTCAAGGAAATACTAATAATAATAAATGCTTTTCAGAAAGCAGAGTACTTAAAATTAGACACTATTTTTAAAAAACCCAGTTTAAACATTTCACTTGAGTGATTGATAAAATTATGCTGATTTCTGAGCAGTTTTCATTGCCCAAGCTAAACCTTATTTTGGATAGTTTCAGTATACTACTTTTACATCTCGTTAGACATTCTGAACGCTGGTAGGTGGAGCTGATGTAACAGTTACTGTAACAAAGACGGACATTTTAAATGTAGACAACTGATGCGCCTTTGCATTACTCCTGGTTTTATCATTGATAAACTATCCTACCTATCAGATATTACACAAATCAAAACGTGAAACACGTCTATAAAGTTGCTAAACTTTGCTTTGATCCATGGGAATAGGCTTATCAAAATCCTGGTAATGCTGGGCATCATTACAAGTTAATTGGTGGATGGTGACTAGCAGTGCAGTCCAGGATGCGTATTTCGTCCTACTAGGGACTCGTCGTCCGAATGTACTTGCATTCCACAGTGAGTGATGATGTCCCCACCGAGGCTCGGACCAAGTGCCCATAGTTTCAAACGCCAAAGCATCGTTATCCTTTAGACCACTTGAGCCACGACAGCCATCTCTTATGCAACGGGTCATATTAATTATTTAATTGAATTTTAGATTTTCCCGTCGATTGACTGGACCGAAGTGCTCGGTTTCGGGTTGACATGTCGGCTTCTTGTGCAGATGCTTTGACGATGTCTGGACGCAATCGTACACAATGGTCTACATGTATTTACTCTTCATCATCTTTAGAATTATAAGTCCCATTTACGATTATATATTCTTTCCTCTGTCTAAACGATCTTGATTTATTTTAATATCAGTTTATTTTTACTTATTTCGTCCAATTTTTAAAAAGTATGGCAACTTAAGTTAGTTAACTGCCACTACACCACTGATGAAATGTTGAACTTCCCTTTATTCTATTACACATTTTCTATCAAAATTCCTCTCAGTATCAATATCATTTTGATTATTAACACTCGTCTGTAAAGCCTTTATCCCAAGTGCTAGATAAAATCCACATAAATTGCTGAATACATCGTTCTAACAGAATGTTAGAAAGCAGACAGAGTTAAGGATAAATGGTTTACATTCTGACAAAGCGAAATCCTTATCACCATTGACTGAATGTGATTTTCAAGCGTTGGTCTGCAGAGATTTGATCGATTTCAAGTTTGTTGATTAAACAACTTCATTTAGATAACTATTCAAAGAAAGGAAATGCTGGACAGCTGTTTCATCTCTGTTTACGACTTTTCACTAGCACGCACTCAATACTCCACTATGGATAGGACGATGGACCTTCTTGTTATGAGGCAAGCTTGCTAACCATTCAACTACTGAGACGGAAACCAGTGGGCCAGTCAATGGATTCTAACTTCTATTAATTTGCGACATGTAGCACGACTACTAGTCAGTAGCACCGGTGAGTGTTTGCCCTACTAGGGAATTCGGTGGACTGCGCCGGTCACGAGTTCCTACCTAGAACTTTGGCAATTTCACCCCATACTCAGTATTTAGGGAACATCAGATTGGTTTTCGAGTGTTCGTTTGAGGGGATTTAAGATTTGATTGATTTCAGGTAATGGTTCAAGAAATATCATATGGCCAAGCTGACAAAAAGGTTTCTAAATTCATTTACCGATGTGTTCTTTTTATCTCATTTGAGCAAATCAGTGGCCCGATAAGATCTTCTCATCTTAATCAAATTCATTGTGAATGTCCGATGGAGACAATGTCAAGCGTCAGGTAATCCACCACGGAAAAATCAACGAGGTCATCGAAGTGAATACAGGAGTTAAACAAACTGCCTACCTGCCTACCGTCATCCACGATGATATTGTAAATTGGAGTGGACTGGATTATGCATTAGAATGTGCACAGGGAATGAGAAGACAGAAATGTGCTGGACGACCGATAAGAAGATTCTAGATCTGAATTTTGCACGCGGATAATTTGTGTTCAGTGTCACACATACGAACTCGAAGACTTGCAGGTAGACGAAAACCAACAAACTGGCTGAAGAAGCAGGTGGAGAAGACAAGACTCCAGGTGAACATAGAGAAGATGGAGGTGATGAGGATGGTCATCATCACCAACCAACACCAACAGTAATAACAACAACAATCAGTACCAGTCACCATCAACGGGAGTGATTCACAGAGATTACTTCATCCCTTCACCTATCTGGCCAAGAAGCATCGTTTCAACCACAGGCAGTCGGAACAAATGAAGATGTGCAAGCCATCCGGCCAACCATAATCGGAAAGGCGAGGCAAGATACGCCTTCATCAACCTGAAGTCAGTTTGGAAATCTTCTGCACTGGACTGCACTCAGCCATCTAGCTAGTATAAACAACAAGATTCGAATTCTCCTCAACACAAATGTGAAGTCAGTCAGTCGGTGAGTTCTTCTATACGGGTCAGAAACTTGACCAGCGTGACACGAAAAGCATTGCCAACAGGTTACTGCAAAATTTTATCAACAGCTGCCACCTTCGCTGGCTGGCTTCTTATGGCTGATCAAATGGTAAGGCGTCAGGCCGCCCAGCCATAAAGAATTAGCAATAAGAAACTCTGGTTTGCTGGCTGAGAACGAACCGACAGGCGAGAGACAATTGCTCAACAAATATGTTGGAGAAATTGGAGATGGATTGGGCCACGCATATCTTGAGGAGGCTGTCAAGTGAAATCGCGCTCAATGTATGCCATCGCTCGAGTGTAAGTTGAATGAGAAGTGACCAGTGGGTCGTGGGTTCGAAGGTGACATGTAGGAGATCATGTTAGGAGGAGGAAGAAGAGGCGATGAGAGATTATGTTCAGTCGTGCAGCTAGCCAGCTGAAGAGGACAGCATCAAATGGAAGAAAGTAAGATATGTTGTTGAATCTCTATTTTCCACTCGTAACCCAATGGAGTAATAATAAATGATATTTACTTAGCTTAAAGAACGAAATTCGTATTTTCACCACCAATGTTAAGCCATTCAGTCAGTCAGTTATTCTATGTGTCAGAACCTTGGCTTAAACCTTACGAAAAGCATTTCTGACAGACCACTTTAGACTTTCATCAACAGTCGCCACCTTTGTTGGCTCCATACTGAACATCGTATGTCTGATCAAAAATAATTAGTAACAAGTGACTCTGTGAACGAACCCATCAAGAACTTATTACTCAACAAATATGCCGGAGGATATGGAGATGGATCGAACACACGCTGAGGAAACCACTGAGTGATACCACATGCCAGGCTACTCCTCGAGTAGGAGGTTTATTGGAAACGACCAGTAGGGTTTTCAAAGTTGAGATGAGAGCCTATGGGTAATGATATGATCAGCTGAAGGCGACCGTAGAGCACAGAACAAACTGGATAATTGCTACTGAAGCCCTATATTCCACTAGGAACTCAAACGAATGACACTAACATACTTTTCCTACTTATCTTTCGATCGGTAAGTAAAGCATAAACAGAAGAAAACAATAAAAAACAAAAAAAAACAAGTCAATGCAAATTACAAATTTCTGTTCTTGTTGTATATATTTGTTTGTTGTTTGTTAGTTTTTTTTTCATTTTTCCATGATTTCAAATGTAAATAGTATTAATAATAGTAGTATTAATAATAATATAGTAATAGTATTAGTACTATACAAATATCACAACTAAAAACTAACACTGTTCCTCATTGTCTTCCTGTCTTTTGATGCTTCACTAACAAGTGAAGATAAAATAAAACAAAATGAAACAAAAAAGGGGAGCAGAGAAAACAAGGCAGGAAAATAATAAAATGTTTGATTGTCCATTTGCTGGTTTTGGTGGTTTTTAATATACTTTGGTAACAGGGGAACACTGGTTACGTAATAATACGTCTCTCTCTCATGTATATAGTATCGTTGTTAGTTATAGTAGTAATAATAATAATGATAGTAATAATAATAATAGTAATGATATTATGTAATAAGTAAATAAACAAACATAGTTTTATAATATTCAATAAAAACATTTTGTACTTGTCATGTCAATATTTTTTGTGCAATAAATGTGAAGATGTTTAAAATCACTTGTTGTATCCACTTATTCTTGGGTGTATGTTGGAGGGGGTGTTGGGGTTAAAACTATTCTACACGTGCACACACACACACACGAAGGAAAAGACCACTGTTCATTGAATACATGCTGAAATGATCTTTCGTTGTCTATTAAAAAATGTCTTTATAGAAGATTAGAAGTATATATAAATCGAAAGAGGAAAGAACTCATGTTCTTCTGAAGGAAGGATTTGAGTTACATACATATGCATTTATGTAGATATCACGATACTAAAGTATACACCAAAAGACAGCATGATCGAAAAAGGATCTGTTAGGATCGGAGAAAACAAAAGAAGGAATATTAGAATGAAAACTGAACATGAATTAAAAGCATACTGAAACTTTCATTACTGTTATTATTATCATTATTATTATTATTATTGTGGTAATTATTATGAATATCATCGTTTCACTCATAAAAATTTATTGACTGACTAAGGTAGTAGACAAAGCTGAACGCTTGTATTATCAAGAAACCATCACAGAAGGCATTCACTGCAGGAAGAAGAAAAGAAGGAAGAAAGGGTCAGCTACATTCATGGCGTAATGATAAATACATCAGATAAAACCCATCGAGTACATATATTAGATATAGAATAAAAGATCAGTGGAAAGAGAGAGACAGGGAAACAGAGAGGAGTTAAACAGCTGAATTCGTATTCACTTTTTTCAGTATGTTGGAGTTTTTAGATAAGGAATAACAAATAAAAATGGTAAACGTAAGAATATAAGTATATATATATATATGGACTAGTTTATACACCATATTTCAACCCCCTGTTGATCTGAATATCAGAAAACACCGCATTTATTTCCCTTATTCTAAAATAACCAGTGATTATTGTCATTATTAGTGTTAGACTTGAAGTAGACTTTCGTTGAAGTGGGGGGGGGTGGTGGGGCGACTGAGGCAGGGGAAGGTTGGGTAATAAATTTATCACGGAAATCATAAAATTGAGTGAGAAATGTGTGTACATATATGTGGTTATCTTGTGTGCACACTTGAACAAATCACTTTTCAGGAAGCACTTTCCTCTTTCCTGTTGTTGTTGTTGTTGTTGTTGATATAAAGTTACCAAGGATATCTCTTTAAAACAAAAAAGGAGGAAGGAGTTAATAGTGGATACAAGTTTTCTTTTCTTCTTTCATAACTGTATCATGAATAGCCTTCAAATTGATGATAAGAAGAAGAGAAGAATTCCCACCACTCTTAAGCATGGAACCTGATATATCTGTTCAACAGGGAAGATGAAACCGCCAAACAAAAAGTACAACAACAGACACTCGACTCGCCAAGTAATATCGAAACGAAAAAGAAACCAAAATCAGTAATCGATAAGATAAAAATCTTGTAAAATAATGAATAACAATAAAAAATTGACAGTGAACAGAACTGTTGTATTGGTGGATGGCGGAAGGTGAAAGGGATGGACGGGACGGGAACAAGAGATATACACAAAATAAAATACCCTGTAGACTAAACTAACTAATGAAACCTAATGACTATTTATCACAAAAAAGCTTCACACAATTGTCATTTTGAAGAGAGAATTTTTTTTTAAAAAAAGAGTAGAAATTCGATGTAATCACATAGTTGTTTTTTTAATTCAGTAGTATAAACTGTGTTTCTGGTGCTGCTGCTTTCTGCTGCTGCTGCTAGAATTTTTTTGTTTGCTTTTGTATACTACTTGATTGTCTAGAAAAGAGAGAAATAATGCCCTTTTGTTTTACCAATGGAAACTATTCACAAATATTTATTCTATGCATTCAATTTGATATCCACATACATACATATATATATATGTATATTTGATGTGGAACAACACTGACGTGTGTATTTATTGACAAGAAATTCTCACAGCCTGTAATTGTGTGTGTGTGTGTGTGTGAGTGACTGAGTGAGTGAGTGAGTGAGGAGTGTAGTGTATGGATTAAATCATCTTCTTCTCCGCTTATTTTTGTTCTGATGATACAAAAGAATGAACAGAACAAGACGCTGGTGTATCAATTTCATCGGAAACAACATCCTGGCCTTCATCGACCACTTGTAGAATCGGTTCATCATCAATTTCTGAGGATTCTGATAAACGCAAATCAGTGATTTCAGTTTTTGGTATTTCAATGGAATAATTTGTATCATATTCATTTGTTAAAGGTATGGGTGATGGCTGTGCTGTTGTCGCTGTGGTTGTTGGCGGTGGTGGTGGTGGCGGTGTTGTTGGCAGATCATCGCTGTGACAGTCATGTGGATATGGATGATGATTATGTTTTGATAGTTTTGTAGTGGAATTAAAACGATTGGAATTATGCAATCGACTTTTAACACCTAGTACACTGTTGTCACATTCATTTTGATCATTAATATTATGATTAGTATTACTATTCCCTTGTGATTTGATAGATTCTTCTTGTCGACAAGGTGAAATTCTTAAAGGATGTTGTCGACTTCTTTGATTATTAGCTACGCGTCTAGCTTGTACACAGACATCTGTCATACACAGGTTGATTGATCCAGTTTTAAGTTGTGGATGTCGTTGGCGTATGAAAACTAATCGAGAGAGAGAAAAAAAAAGGACAAACAGTAATAGAAAATTATTGTACGATAAGAATCTAACATGGAATAAATTATGCATTAATCAATTTAGAAAAGCTTAATAAAATGTAACATGCATGTTATTTATTATTATTATTGCCTTGGGTTCCGAGGGGAACATACGGATTCAACAACACATTCCCACTTTATTCTTTTCTCTACTGTCCTCTTCAGCTGGCTAGCCACAAAACTGACCATAATATCTCATCTCCTCCTCTTCCTCCTCCTGACATGATCTCCTCCATGTCGTTCTCGCATCCACGACCCACTGGTCGTTTCCCATTGGGGTTCCACTCGAGCGATGGCCTGCATTGCCTCCTCAAAGTGTGCTCGGCCCAGTCCATCTCCATCTTCTCATAAATATTAGCTTAGCGATAGGCTCTCGCCTGTCGGTTTGTTCGCAGGCAGCTAGAGTTTCTTGTTGCTAATTCTTTCTGGCCTGCCTGCCGGCCAACCATTTGATCTTCAGTATGGAGCCAGCCATCGAAGGTGGCAGCTGTTGATAAAAGTCTGCAGCGACCTGTTGGAAATCCTTTTCGTGACACGCTTGCCAAGTTTCTGACCCGTAGAGAAGAAGTCACTGACTGAATGACTGAACTTCACATTTGTGTTGAACAGAATCCGAATCTTGTTCTTCATGCTGGCTGGATGGCTGAGTGCAGTGCAGTGCAGAAGATTTGCAAACTGGTTTCAGGTTGATGAAGGCGTATCTTGCCTTGTCTTTCCGATTCTGGCTGGCTGGCTGGCTTTCACATCTTCATGTTTTCTGACTGGGTGTGATTGAAACCGTTCTTCCTGGACAGATAAGTGAAGCGAGGAATTAACCTCTGTGAAATCACTCCCGTTGATGGTGATTGGTGGTGGTTGTTGTTGCTGTTGGTTGATGTGTTTATCTTCATCACCTGCGTCTTCTCCATTTTTACCTGGAGTGCTGTCTTAGCCACTTGCCTCTTCAATCAATTTGTTGGTTTTCGCCTGCAATTTTTCGAGTTTGTGTGACGTTAAACGTAAATCATCCATGTGCAAAATCCAGATCTGCTAGAGTCTTCTTATTGGTTCGTGCAGAGTATTCCTGTCTTCTCACTCCTTGTGCACATTCTGACGCATAATCCAGTTCGCCACAATTAAGAATATCATCCGTGGTGATAATAGACAGCCAGCTTGTTTTACTCCTGTATCCACTTTGAATGACTCGCTGAGTTTTCTGTTGTGGATCACCTGACACGTAGGAGTGTCATGTAGCTGTTGAATGAGATTTACAAAGACTTAAGCACTGCTCTCCGTATTGTTGTAGTAGTTTCCAAATTACTTCTCTGTCAACTCTGTCAAAGGCCTTTCCGAAGTCTATGAAGTTGAGATATAGTGAGGTTTGTCTACCATTCTATGCTTTTTTCGTCATCGAACACTGACCTCTTTCAAGTTTATTTTGTTGACGGTGATTAGTGCGTGTTGTTGTTGGTTGGCTGGTTCTCTTCACCACCTCCATCTCTTCCATACTTCTTCTTGAGACTATATTAAATATGCCGGCTATAGTCAGCGTTTGCTTGCTATCCAAACGTATCATCAAACACTTACCCTTATAGTTTTGTGGAAGAGAAAAAATTCTCCCCGCCACAGCTCTATCCTGGAACACCTCTTCGAGTCTAAACACCAAGCTAATCCACATACCAACTCCAAAGTCGTCTAAGCAGTACGCAGGAATCTTGCTAAAAGAATACAAATCAAACTTCTTCATACCGTAGAAGCAATGGCAATTCATATGTTGAATTTCGAACTCTGCATACAGAAGAAGTTCGTTCAGTCACTAAATCTACAATGGACCTGATTTTTCTGAACACCTGATAGGTAATTTTTGTGTTTTTAATTGTATTATTTTCTACCCTCACCTCCTTTAAATTTCTACTCCTTATTACCACTATGGTTCATTTGCATTGTACTCACTCCCGTCAATTATATTACATCACTCAGTTTCCTTATTTGATTCTGCTAGAGGAAATTGTTCAACTTGAGAATGATATTGCTGAAAAAGTAACTCGCTGCTGAACATCTTATCTTTTATATAACGACAAATTTTACAGAAGATACAAAACGACTTGAACTAATCATGATATCCATATTCAGGATTTCATCATGAGCTGACATCGGTTAAAGGACCACTTGAAAATCAGCTGGGAGTACTGGACAGCTGTTTCATCCTAGTGCTCGAAACTCTTCATCAGTACGCACACATCAGTGTGGTCTGAACATAGGACTTTCAGGTTACAAGGCCAGAGGGCTCGTAGACCACTTAGCCACTGGGAAGGTGTTCATCTTCCAGCCCATGAATTCCAACTTCTGTCAATTCACGATATAACGTGACTGGCACTAGCCAAAGTCCTCATAACTGAGTCCCAAACTGGAACGAAGCATCTGTCCGGTAATTCTTCCAAGTTTACCTATGGTCCTCTAACCGATGTCAGCTCATGATGAAATCCTGTAACCAATCAATTCATATCCCTGAAAGCCAAAATATGATTGTCCATCTTCAGTTTTACAAAGTTTTATGAACGTGAAAAGTTGAATAATAGTAATAATAATAAATTTCAACTAGACTCAATTGATGTGAACTGTGATAAGAGTGAAATGTTTTCTTCCTTTTTTTTCTCACTCATAAGAATGAAGCGCATTTCTTTGCTGTGCTTTCCTGTCTCAAGTGATCATCTCTTCCACTTGATTTATTTATAAGTTAAGTCTAAAAAGAAACCTCTTCTTCTTCCTCAGTTTTAAGTACTCCATTGATAACTTCTTATTGATGACTCATTGAGATTTACCAATTCGTTAAAGACTGACTGATTGAATTTCATGAATGGAGTCAAACGTATAATAAATATGAGAATGAGTTTAACAAGAGAATGAGTTTACGCCGCCATTCGAAAACTAATTGGTTTGATTACCATTGATAAATAACCACGGAATTTTTATTGATAATGATAATAATAATAATTTTCTATAGTTTGGTTTGTAAGGGTTTGTTATGTTTTTACGAGTTGGTCACGGATTGATATCAGTTAGAGAACCATTGAAAACCAAGGAGTACTGGACAGCTGCTGTTTCATTCTAGTTTGGGAATCATCGGCAGTACGCACCCACTGGGATTCGAACCCAGGACCTTCCGGTTACAAGGCAAGCTCGTATACCATTCAGCCACTGGGATCCGACTCAATGGCTCATGAATTCTAACTTCTGATGCTCGCTAGTGACTTACTACAGGATGGAATTTCCTGGACTTCTAGTGAGAAGTCGTGACCAGTGAGGTCCAATTAGATGTCACGTGTGTGGATGGATGTCCCACCAACGACAATGGTTGGGGTTGTGCTAAATCATGAATTGGTACAAGTTAGAATTAATTATTACTTTCACATAAACGTAGAAATTGATGCCGAATTTATCGAAAGGAATATTATTTGTTACTTAATCAGTCTTTTGAATAATATATATAAACAGAAGTTTTTCACTTAGTGATAACCTAATCAGTACTCAAGATTGATTGTAGTTACCGCATAAATAACATGATTCCAAGTTAGCGCCAAATAAAAGACGAACTTCAAAAATCGAGTGAGATAACAATTTCCCTCAAATTTTTACACATACTACAACTAATAGAGTATTCGACAGAGAGAATACTGAACGCCATAGATAGATAGATAGATAGATAGATAGATAGATAGATAGATAGATAGATAGATAGATAGATAAGTGGTAATGAAAAACACGATATTATTATCCAAAGTAAAAGTTAAAATTTATTTGTTTTTGTGGTAAGGAAAGGAAGATGTTTAATTGTGTTTTTTCCTCTTCTCAGGAAATGAAAGAAATCACAGATGTGAATAAGGGAGGAGAAGAAGAGAAGAAGTAAAACCCGAGATGGAAATCTCATGTAATTTCTTTTATGCGTGTTCACCAACAGCATGCATGTCCACCTATCCTTGCAAGAGTATTACCGTATGTACCTCTGTACGTGTACGTGTGCGTGTGCGTGTGTGTGTATGAGTTTGTGTTTGTGAGTAACATTGTATTTCTTTTGCATGCAAAGAATTTTCATAAACAATTATAAATCACTAAGCTCAAACTCCCCAATGATCACGAGTATAATTTTGAAAATGAATTTCATTCTATTATCAACTTAAATTGAAAGAAGATGATTCAAATTTCACGAATTTATCAGAAACGTATGATGTTCTCAAGAGAGAGAGAGAGAGAGAGAGAAGGAAAGTAGAGATATGAAAAGGAGGACTTCCGGGACATTGATGCATATTACAGAAAATCATGTTTTCACTTATTTGAATGAATAGGCAGATTTAGTGTAGTTGGCTTTATGGTGTATATATATGACTTATCAAACTGAAGTAAATTGAATTATTGGGCATGCAAATAGTTAGCCGATGCGTAGAAATCAACTTCAGTTAGCGTCCCGCATAATACTATGATAAACACGTAGCAATTTTACCTACCTGGGAAGCATCGTTTCAACTACAGGCGGAACTGACGAGGATATCAAAGCAAGGATCGGAAAAGCAAGACAAGTTTTCACTACTCTCAAGTCTGTGTGTAGGTCAACAACACTCAGCATCAAAAATAAGATCCGGATTTTCAACTCCAATGTGAAGTCAGTCACTGCTACTATACGGATCAGAGACTTGGCGCGTCATAAAGAGCATCTCAAACAAACTACAGACCTTCATTAACAGTTGTCTTCGCTCAATACTCAAGATCAGATGGCCGGCCAGAAAAGATCAGCAACAGAGATCTCTGGAAGCGAACCAACCAGGAACCGATTGTGAAACAAATAGGCAGGAAGAAATGGAGATGGATTGGCCATACTCTTCTGAGGAAACCATCAAGTGACATCACTAGACAAGCCATCGCTCGAGTGGAACCCGAAAGGGAAGCGGCGAATTAGTTGGTCGTCAGTGCAA